GCTGGAATGTTTTGTTTTAGCATTATATATTAGCCTTCACTGATTATGCTAATAGTGAAAAAAAAAAAAAGATAATGCGTAAAGTAACCCGAAAAAGAGGTTCCATACCTAAGCTTTTAATGATCCAGAAACCATATTTACCTTAAAACACAGATCCATAAATATTATTCAAATAGCTACTACACGCAACCCGGTAGCTGATATATTCATACATATATATGTGTTGAGTACCCTTTAGAAAATTTATGCCTAAACCCAGATTACGAGATCATTTTCACCTGGACTGATCCAACGATATCAATGGACTTTATTTTGTGATTCATTGAATAACATGTAATTTTTTTCATTAAACAACAAACCGAAGAAACCTGGGTTTGTTTCGTGTGGGAAAAAAAAAAAGATCACATTATCTTACATCATAATCTATACACTGAAGCATGTGAATGTTAAACACGTTACATTAACACACAACACCCACGACGCGTAGGCTCACCAACTATTTCTGAAGGATTACTACGATACCTGCGTAGTGAACTCTGCCGAGACCCCACCGGGTCATACGAATAAGTGGCAATGAATTGATGGCCATTGTGCTCCACAGATGTGTTTGGCAGATCTTGCTGGGAAAGAGTGAGGCTGTTACGATGGCGAACTTCGGCGCGTTGCTTCTTCAGGTCGGCTAGTGTTCCAGGGCTAGGACTGTAGGGGGAGCTAGTGTTGACTGTCACGTGAATTTCTACTTTAACCGACTCTCCTTGTGATCTAGCTGGTACAGACAGGTTATTAGTCGTGTCTGAAGATGAAGGTAAAGTATTGTCAGTTGCCTCTTCGTTTTCCACTGGGCTCCAATTACTTTTATCAGGAGGGGGGTCCAATTCTTGGTTGATAATTTCCTGGTTGACATTTACATTACTTTCTTTACGTTGATTGGCATTATCTTTCAAGACGGCCGAGGGAACCTTTTCACTAAGTTCCTTCTTTGGATGTTCCGTTTCATCGATGATGTCAGCTACTTCTTTTACTGGACGTCCCTTCAATCTTTGTAAAGTGTCTTTGTTACCAACTGGTGTAGCAGATAACTCCACGTACTCCAAATCAACTGAAGAGTCGTATCCATTCTCTTTTTCAAACTCTTGGATATCTTGCTGCTGTTTGGCTTCATCATCCTGTAAACGTACGATAATAAAATATGAAACGGAATTCCTACAATACTAGCAGTAAAATATATTATCAAAAGGAGATAAAAACGATGTATGAAGATTCCGTATCGACACGAGATGCGAAGAGATAAATGTGAAAAATATAGAACAAATACAAATATTAGAATAAATAACACTGACCGACAAAATGCATGTTTGGAACTGACAGTAGACCAGATTGTAATTGTCAGTGCTTAAGACGCATGTCTACTTGTAGCAGAACACGTAGCATGGATGTAACAAAACATTTGATTTCAAGACTGACAAAAATCAGAGTGACATAGGTATGGAGCATAACACACAACATAATAAAACAGAAATCACGTGAAGATTGATAATTAGCAGAGAATGGAAAGACGAAAATAATATACAAAAATAACAACATAAAGACGAATATTAAAACATTTGATAAGACTAGCAAAAATGGAATACATTGAAACTTTGTGTATATATATATATTTTTGATGTGCGATGCCGAACTGTTATGTGAATTATCATTATTAAAAATTATTGAAAGTATATATATAAATATTCTCAAACATAAAATTTCAACCTGACCAAATTTAGACACTGCTTTCCAAAGTCACGTGATCGTGGAAGTATTTAGATGTAAAGCAAGTAATTATTCCCTAATAAGAATTTTTTATTTTTTTGGCATCTAGATGTAGTATAGATATAACAAGTTTTCATAAACTTATCACTCATCACTTCTTTTATCGATTCCAACTCCTGGATACTCTAACACGAGTAGCACCCACAGATAGGTCTTGGAATACTTCAATCCATTAACATTACGATGATGAGCTAGTCATCACCTGAACACTACCAGATGGGTCGTGGAATACTGTACTACATTAGCATTACCATGATAACCTAGTCATCACCTGAACACTACCAGATGGGTCTGGAATACTGTACTACATTAGCATTACCATGATAACCTAGTCATCACCTGAACACTACCAGATGGGTCGTGGAATACTGTACTACATTAGCATTACCATGATAACCTAGTCATCACCTGAACACTACCAGATGGGTCGTGGAATACTGTACTACATT